TGATTGCTTTCTGTAGTTTCAATGAAGAAAGTGGCAACCTAGGGACGGAAACTCCCTATACCCGTTAACTAGATTGGGGTCCGACCCGATGGTCGGGTGCATTAACACATAAAATAATAATTACAATGATACAAAGAATGTAACATTTTTATGTGATATCATAAAAGAATACAAATTATTTAGTTATTCAATAAAATTCAAAAAGAAGATATATCACCAAATTATCGGAAATCCTAACTGACTCATCGTCTAAAAAAATCTTCATACCCACTAACAATAGTGCCTTCATTTTCATCACCGAAACATTTGTCTTTGCCATCAAATAGTCCTTCCTTCTCTCAACATCACCATTATCTTACTCCGGTAATGATCAGTTAGTTAACTATTTCGATATTATTCATTATTCTTATATTTAGCGGGGTAGCTATGAGATTGATTGTGTTAATAAATTTCTTAATCAATTTGGGTGGCTGCCAAGTTAGTATTTGAATATCATTATGTTTTTAGTGTTTTCCTATGTATTTGTACTTTATTCATTCAGTTACATTATTAAAGAATAAACATAATCAATTATCTCAAATCTTCATTTGTTCTTCCTCTCTAATCTTTTCAATTTTATTCTCTCTAAATCCTAATTTTGTTCTACATCCCCTTGAATTTCTTTCAATTTTCTTATAGCCCCTAAATTCTCTAGTCCCAATTATTTCTCATCCGATAATTTATTTCTTTCCTTTATTTTGCACAATTCTCCCCTAATGATATCTTTCCATTAATCAATCTCGGATTCCAAGATTCTCTCTCTCATCAATTGGTTTCAGCGTCTATTTACCCTAGTACCCAACACCATCATCTATGTCGTTACAGCCATCGCATTGATTGTCTTCAACGACTTTATCGAGATTTACTCGAAAGCTTTGAAGGATATCTCGGTGCCAAAGAAACAACAAGTATGATCTCCGATAAAGAAGGATGATGAAACTACATTTTGGTAGTTGGCAGTGTGAATTGAAAATTTTCCAGGATGGTTAAACCTTGAACTGGGAGTATTTGAAGATAATGCAAATCCAGGTTGATTTTCATGATAAAGATCTTTCTATCAATAGATCTTGGATTCCAAGACGACATATAGGACATCGTTTACAAAATGGGTAATTAGGTTATTAATGTATTAAGTTTAGGACGTTGTTAAATTAGCAATTTTAGGATGACGTTTAACGATAAGGAAAAAATAGAGTAAGAGAACACAATAGATATATGTCCCCAAAATCTCAATGCAAAGAACTCTCTATATCTCCCAGTACCTATCTCCATCAATATTAACGCACAACCTAAATTTCGAGGTAAATGTGTTCATTTCTTCCAAAATTCTGACAAAACTGTCATATATTTGAAAACTCTGTCCAAAATTTCATTTTACTTCAAAGTTCATACCAAAATAGGATATTCTTTCTATAAACAAATGATTTGAAAGACACGTTCCCAACCACCTCATATTTGAATGTTGAGTTATAGCAGAAAGAAATGTTTGGCATTCAATATTAATGGTCAATTATTTGGAAATTCTTACCATAGTTTTATTTTACGTCAAAGTTCGTGCCAAATAAAGGTATTATCCATTTTAATAAATAAATGATGTGAAAGACACATCACAACCACATCATAATTGAATGTTGAGTCATAGACGGAAGAAGTGTTTGAAAGTTATTATTAACACTCAACCTTAATTTCGGGTCGAATTTGTCTATTTTTTTAAAAAATTCAGACAATATGTCTTATTTGAACGTTCGTCGCAAAAAGTAATTATATCAAATTTCAGACTAAAAGAAGGTATTCTCCCCTTTTGTAAATAAATGACGTGAAAGGCGCGTCACAACCACCTCGTAATCGAATGCTAAATCATAGACAGAAGAAATGTTTGACAATCAAAATATTGACGACAATCCTTATTTTGGGTCAAATTTGTCTATTTCTTTCAAAATTCGGACAAAACTATCTTATTTAAACATTATACCAAAATTAGCTTGTACATCAAATTCAAACCAAAATAAAATATTATGTATAACTAAAACTAATAGTTAATGACATGAAAGTGAAACCCACATGATAAACCCTCATGTTTTGGAAATTGGATTATGGCTTAACCATTGATGTTTGCTTTAATACCCACTAGGATATAGCCCGCGCTCTGCTGCGGGATACTATTTCTGTCATAATTTAAATGAGATTCAATATAATCTATTACCATAATTGTTATGTCCCAAACATAGACATAAATGTTGTAATCTCTGACCATTATGCAAAAGAGTGACAGGTTTTGCAGAATAACATGAATGTAGTTAGGAGTGTTGCCAAGTCTCCATGACATAGCCACTAAAGTAATAAAAGCTCCATGGCGGAGACTGAAGATTTGCAAAACAGTAGAACAAATGTTTACAGAAGTTTCGTGCCTTTGTTCATTGCACGATATCAAAATGGTAAGCTTTGAAAGACAACATCATTTCTCGAATGCCGATCGGTCCCAGAGGGTGAGCACTGTCGCTTTTGCCTGCATGTCTGAATCTATTTCCCCTACTTTTTTCCATGCGACATTCAACTCCACATCATATTTTTTGTTACAGTGCTTTGCGATCAATTCGATGATTTCGTCCTTCTTCAGAAACTGATAATCAGATGGTGACTTACGAATAAGTGACAAAGCTGCTTCATGCTTAAACACCACATCTATTTCAGATCCTCCTTGGCGACATTTCCCTTCCAGTTTGTATGTCAATCTTGCAAAAAAGTTTTTTTTGTTAGGTTAGACAAGGAGTATCATTATGACTTGTGTAAACATGGGAGAATGGTTAGAAGCTCACCCTGTGTTCTCTCCACGAACTTTGCAGATGCTTTTTCTGTATATAAACTTTGGGATGTTAATCAATGTCATAAAAGTAACCTGTTGCAAAAAATGTCAGATGTATTATACAGGTAAACAGATGGATATGAACAGCTGTTGTCAATTTTGGTGTTTGTTCGTTTACCTCTGTGAAATCTGACAGGCCCTCCATCCTTTCTTTTATCTCTCTCAGCGATTTCTTTTGTAGTTGATTGCTTAGCAGATATCCAGTTTTTTTGCAAGTAGTATCATCGATGAAATATACAGGTTTGCGACATGCAAGAAAGCTACACATTGAAAATAAATGTGTAAGTACACTAACTCGATAGGAGTTGAACTAATCAGTTGGGTAAACAAATACACAGCAACTCACATGTTCATGACATCCTTGCAACAGTCCTGATAAGAATGGATGATGAGCTTGCTTGCAATTGTGGATTGAAATTCATGCTGATACTTGCTGTTATGTCTAGGGGATACTCTACTAACTGATCTTATTGTCACAATCAGTGGTAACTTTGACTCAATTGCTGGAGCATTCTTTTGAAAATCATCAATGTCATGGCCACTGTATTCAACATAAGCCTTTTCCCCACTGATTGTAAACCAATGCGTTAACTACACGTTTTGACAAAGTAAAAAAAAGTGTACAATCTTAAGTGCATACCAGACATCTTGTATGAGCAGGTCTAATTTCTGAATCCTTCCTTGAATTCTTTCTGGATGAGTTAGTCTTCTAACACATCCTGTAACATCTGTAGATTTAATGTTTGTTATGCTTTGTTTAATGGTCTTTTTAATCAAGTATAGAGAGACATATATTTACCTGAATGGCAGATAAAGTCCTCTGATAGTTGAGGCACAATGGAAAAATTGGCTGCTGTGTATGATCCTGCTGGGAATTGTTGGGGTCCATTTCCTTCTTCAATGTGTCTCCTAATTTGACCTGAAGTGAGGAGCAGGCGTAACTCTCGATGGACAACGCGTGGCATTGACCTTGCTGGACCTGCTACAATATCTTGTAGTTCATGCAGCCAAACAACTTTGATTTTCTGAAAAACCTCAGATGCATCTTCTTCTTCAACTTGTGCTTCGATCAATTTGTTCTGTAAAGTCAATGGTAGATAAATATGTTGCAAAGAGTTCTTGTTCTTTTAGCATTTGTCAGTAGGTTAATTGATGTCCAATGTTTGTATATTGCCAAGTTCTTTGTCCTAACACTGAATCAAATGCACTGACGAATATTTATGAATATGGTTTGGGTATCTGGAGTCAAACCTTTTTGTCAAGCCAGAGCATGTGATGTGTCCTTTTCTTCCATGTTGATAAAGTCACTTCTCGGAACTCAGTCCATGTAACGACATGTCTTGCAATAACTGTTCGATTGTTTGTTCCCAAACGCAGTCCCCGAAAGCACATGCTTGATTCAATAGACTCTGCAATCCGATTAAAGAAGAATCGATAAATAATAAATGGGTAAAACTTGCATAGGAATCGAGAAGTTCTTGTCGGATTTCTTTCCAGATTCAATGTATTTACCTTTCAGTTCGTTCGGGTCTATTTTGTGTGGGTCCACGGAATCTCACGTTTCAGTCGTACTACACAACTGTAAATCTGTTGGGTAGAAGAATGCTTCCAGTTCATCGAGATCCTGGTTTCCCTTTTTTGTCTTAATCTTGACTGCCCGGTTGATTTTAGAAGGCATAAAAAACAATCGGTAGTTTATGTAAGCTAGGGTTAACTTAGGGTAAGTCCTTTTTGGATCGATTGTTTGGGCCTTGACAATCGTGTTTGGGCTCTGTATGGTATGCAATGGGTTCTAACTATTGAATCAGGCCTTTTTACAGAAAAGCCTACAATATGTTCCCGTGATGAATGTCGTCAAGTTGTATCAGTTGGGCTCATCGATTTTCTTTATAAGTTCTCTCTGGATATTCTGAATCGATGTTAACTGATTATAACTCATGACTGCTTTCAAGCTTTGAGTTTCGAAATAATAAACACAAAACTTGTCTCTTGTTAAGAACAACGCAAGAACTGGAAGAACAAATTTACCCAGGCGTAAAATTCAAAAAGTTGGGAGAGTTAATAATAATCACTTCGAGCTTCTTCGATGATATCAAAATTAACCAGGTGCAATATCTGTGAAGGCTTCTGAATATACAATGTTTCTTGTGTAATTTGCTGGAATGTCCTCTTCATTTTCAATCAAGAATCTCAAACCATTTGCAGATCTTACTCTTGATGCTGCCACGTAAAGCTGTCCATGACTGAATACTGGTTTGGGCAAATAGACTCCAACCTTGTCCAGAGTCTGACCCTGGCTCTTATTTATAGCCATCCCATAACATAACCGTACTGGGAATTGCCTCCTCTTCAGTATAAAGGGCCAGCGTTTGTCTTCTATGTTGAGTACTATTCGTGGTATAACAACCTCTTCTGTGTCAAAAGATCCTCCCATGATGTTTCCAACAATGATATTTTCCCCCAATTTCGTAATCAATATCCTCGTACCGTTACACAGGCCGTTTGGTGGGCTCAAATTTCTTAGTAACATGATCGGAGTGTGAACCTTGAGTCTTATTTCATGATCTGGAACACCATTGAACTGAAGAGCATTCAAAAATTCTGTTGGGTAAGTTTCAGCAAACAGTTGAGGCACCTCTGTATCAAGTTGCATAGAGTCTGAACTGTAGTAGCAACGGCAATGTCCAGGAATTTTGTGCAACATGAAGTCATTCACTTCAGTCACAACTGCATTAGTAGGAGTAACGATTGCCCTTCCACTTAGGTAATCTGTGCTCATGTGTTGTTCCTCAAATGTGTCATATATGTCATTTGTGATTGACTCTATTGGATTTTTTCCAGCATAGATCAAGAGTATTTGTGGAATCTCAATCCAATCTGAAGGTGTGTTAGCCATAAAGGATTTTGTTGGAAGCCTTCCATCTCCCAGTGCCAGAATCCACTCACCAAAGTTCATTCCACAGCCGACCAGGTTTCTATTATCCTGTGAATCATTAAGCCTCATGTTCCTTGACAGTTTGAGCACTTTAAAAAAGGGCCACAATGATGACCTTGTGATTGATCCATCCACTGTTTGCTCCCTTCCTGAATCTGAAATTACTGGTAGTGTCTGTCTAAAATCACCACCAAAGACTACTGTTTTCCCTCCAAACAACTTATGTTTTGGACCTGATAGTGGTATGTCCATTAAATCACAAAACGTCCTGCTTATAGACTCAAATGCATTTCGATGTGTCATCGGTGCTTCGTCCCAAATAATCAATGAAGCTGCACGGATTAGCTCAGCTAAATGAGTACCTTTCTTTATGGAACATGTAGATGCATGGTCTATATGAAGGGGAATCTTGAACCTTGAATGAGCAGTTGTGCCGTTTGGTAGCAGTGTGGCTGCTATTCCAGATGAGGCAACAGCTATAGCAATTCTGGAAAGACTTTTTAATTTTGCAATGATTGCATTGTAGAGAAAAGTCTTGCCTGTTCCTCCATGGCCATATAGGAAAAATGAAGTGCCAAGGTTGTTGTTGATGGAGAGAATAATGAGTGTGAAAGCCTCTAGCTGTTTTGTGTTCAGTTTGCTAACCATAGTATTTGCCAGTAACCTTTGTTGATCATCATCAAAGTTAAGATGCTCATTAATCAGGGGATTCGATCCATCGTCAGGTTCTGAATCTGTCGGTCTTGGGAGATGTAATTGCTGAAGTGAGGTACCATAAGTTCTCAGTAAAGTTTCCAGCTGATGTAACACCCAATTCTTAAGTCTCTCATCCGAAGGCTGGAAAGTTTTTGAGTGTATCTGTTTACGAAGAGAATAAACATGATCTTCACTCATTAACCTCCATGAAGATTCAAATAGAGCATTAGGATCAGGTATCTCGCAGAACATCAGCATTGAAACAAATGTAGTCCATATTATGTGTGGCATACTTGATGCTGCAATTTCTTGTAATACCTGAATCCATTCTGAAGAGTCCGACAGAAGCCCCAACTTTTGACATACTCTTTCGTAAGTACTACAAACCTCCCCTTGTATTGTTCTTAAATTGAGGAAACTTGTTGCTCCTCTTACTTTGGTCAATAGCAGCCTAAGAAAGAATACATCATCACTTCCTGGAGGAACATATGCTATCCTTCCTATTGCGAAACCTCTTTTCCTTGGAGTCCATTCACTGTATTCTTCATTCCATGTAAAGGAATTTGGTATTTGAGCATATGTAAGCTTTCTTGCATTGCAATCATGTCTGTTAAGTTCAAACCATGAAGTAAGATGAGTTCTGCCTGCCCTTGGATTTTGTAAAACATTTTGAATATTTGACCTTCTCTTGTATGAAACATTCTGTTGTCCATCCATGTGTACACCAAGTCGAACCACATTAGGCTCTCTGTGGTGTATAGAATACTCGTTGATTCTCCATATAGCTTCGTATGAGGACAGCGACCTGCAATCAGTGAACTCTTTGTATCTCGTCTTTGGTTTTTTTCTTTATATTTGATGGCACCTGAACTGAGCTTGTCGAGTCTTCAGCAACAATTAGAGATCTATCTGGTCCTTTAGTAATGTACTTAAATAAGTACTTCACTAAGCCTCCCTTGTGACATATCTCCACATTAATATGGGCTTGAGCTCTGACCAATAAGTTCCAATTGTATGGAACGACATATCTATTATCCAACATTGCCTTTCCTTTGTGAACCTGAATGCCGGACTTTCTTCTTCTGTAAACGACATTGCCAAACTTGTCGAACGAAGTTTCTGAACAGAATTCTTTTGGAAAATACTTCGAACATTTACCATCTTTCATACACGGTGAAGTGGGGTTGTTAACACCACAAGGTCCATGAATCATGAACTTAACCACTGCAGCATACCCTTCTGGATCTAGATTGGGGTCTGGTATCTCTGCAGAAATCATCTCATCAATGTCAGATGTGGACTTTAGCTTATCCTCTTTGGCTAACCATATAAGCATATGGACATGTGGGAGGCCCCTCTTCTGAAACTCAACTGTGTATATTACTGTAAAAAAACAGTCCATCATTTAAACTTAATAGCTCATTCAAATAATAAAAGAATTTTATACAATGAAAGGTCATCTACAGGTAACTCACTGGCTATCGTTTTCCCGAAGTATGATTCTCTTTTAAACTCGTCAATTAATATGGCAAGTTTCATGTGAAACACACGGCAGACTACCATAGGCTTCAACTCGCTGTTTGGTCCAACCATATCTGCAAAAGCATCAACAATTTCTTCCCAAAGAGCATTGCAGGTAAATGTAACAAATAAATCTGGATTACCATAATGTTGACAGGTTGCCATGGCATCATGATATAGTTGCTGCATATATCTTGGTCCTCCTGTATAAGATGATAGCATTATAATTCTTCCAAGTTTTTCTCCATCCATGTCTCCCTTTGCAAATGCATCCTGCAACCCCTGATAAACCTCTGTTCTTAAAGCTTTTTGATGAGTTCTAAGAAATGCCAGACGATTGAGTTCAATTGTTGAAAATGCATCAACACAGTAATGTTGCAATGCCTTGCCACTTTGAACCAGTGTATGCCCCTCATTCAGTCGATACTGAAGTCTAAAAGCATAATACTCTTTTTGAGTAACAAATTTTCTGCGCATTGATGCTGGACAAAAGGAGGCATTATAAGAAATTTGAGGATGAAACCCATCTTCTCCGTACGGGAATAGCAATGGGAAGTGAAGAGCTTCGAATTTTGGGTTCAGGCTTGTTATACGTTTCACCCCTTCTCCTCGATGGTCAACAATGATATCTCTATCCTCCCTATCTGCAACAAAATCACCAGGTATTAAGGCTGCAATATCAGAGCTAGTTGGCAAGTCATATTGTCGATTCCTACTTTTGATCCCAAAGATTCTGAGTCGGAGATTTGGTGTGGAAGAAAGCTGGAGATCTTGTCGAATGCGCCTAAATGTTCTGACCAACTCGTTGTTTTCATCAAGCATTCGAAGCAAACTTGCAAGTAACTCAGGCAGCAAGACTTCCTCTCGAGATGCGAAGTTTGCAAGTCTATTGTTAACCTCATTTTCAGGTTCAAATATATATAGCTGAGAAAATTTAGGCCTCTCTCCATCAACTGGAAGTAAGGATCCAATCCTATGGTAATTCTCACCACAAATAACCATCGAGTAAGGTCCTCTTGTTGGCAAAGAGCGTGGATCCAGTTTGGCTCCAAAAGATGTGAAACACAAAGAACCATTGTAGGGTCTAATGTTGTCTCTAAAATGCTTCGACATTGCACCTCCATTAAGATCCAACAGCTAAGCAAGCAATGGAGGTGGTGGCTTTAACAGGGGAATGCAAACTCTTCCTTTCTGACAACAAAGACTATACACAGGATTTAAGGATTTCCTGTGTCGATCCAATCATTCAGCATACCAAAAAAAAGCACCACAGAATTGACATACACAGTCAGGTTTTCCAACGCTCAGCCTATCATTGTGCAATGGCTTCCTTGCAGTTGGGACATCAGCTGATGCTTTCTTTGCTTTTTGATATTGACGATCATTTGTAGCCAAACTGCAAGATGCCTCATCGCCAACCATTTCTTTATAAGGATCTGGAGGAACGAACTCACTCTTGTGAGCATTTGTGGACTTTGAAATTTCCCCTGAGAGAATCAACGGCAGGCTTCTCAATTTCTTGTTTACTCTGGTGTTACCCACGTTCATTTCTGTAGAGCCTTGTGTTGGAATCCTGGAGGATTCGATCGTGAAAGAAATGTCACCTCTCTTTCGCCTCAACAGGTTGGAAATAGCTCTCTTCTTTCTAGGTGTCATTCTGATTACATGAAGTAAATGTTTGATATCCAGTCAGACTTAAATGAGTAAAAAACAAAAGTTCAATAACTGCAAACTTCAGTGTTCTGTCTTGGTCATAAAGACAAAGAAGAGGATCCAAATCATTTAAAGAGATTCCATTAATGTGTAACTGAAGAATAACAAATACAGACATGCTTAACTGTATCTGATGAGGTGGTCTATATCACCAATGATGAGTGTCTCTGACTCGCAGCTCCAAACAGCTGATCATAAGGTCTTACCTTGCTGTATACTCCAGATAGCTGATACTACACTAAAGGGAAAAAGTCGACACAAACAGAATTACTTGCTGAACACATGAGCAAAAACCAGAGGGAAAAGAGAAAGCTGAAGGTCCATTGATGAAATCTCTTTGATATCTGATGTGTTCCTTGATAAGATATTATACAATCAATATATAATTTTATATAAGGTGTCTAATCTCTATCCAAGTAGACATTGTGATTGCCGGTTCTGTAACCAAGGTCAAACAATGATGGCTTTTGCATTTAATGCTTTAGATTTTGGGTACATAATTAACCCAAATTATTTAAACCTTGCAACCCAAAAGATTCCTTTTAATATTTGCACATGGCTGCTATCCATTACTAATCTCGCCTTTTCTTATCATATTTTTCTTGTGGACAATCACATGATGTAAAGAACATTTTTGTGATATTTGCATATACATAGAGTTAAGACATAAATGTAAACATAGGCACCTTAGCTGAAAACTATATTCCTTAATAACACATAAAAACTGGTGAGCATTCACATTCTGCAAAAGAGGGACCAAAAGGCCAGAATTTTGCCCACACTGGGGTCACAACATTTCAGGTTTCCAAGCTGATTACTCTGATTTTACACAGAAAATTACATGTACTTAAAACTTGCACCTCATAAACAGATACCCGAAGCACCATTAGTTTTGTCTAGAAACCAACAACATAATTCCCACAAAGTTGCCAAAATTAGCCAAGAAAGGCAACAACAAAGTTCACAAACAGGTTCCCCAGAAGTTTACAAAAGAGCTGCAAATCCTCCAACCAGCACATCTTCAAACGATCAACATAATCATCCTGCCCACCATCAAAAGGACTTCTTGCTTGAAGCAAATTCAGCATCCACAAAAGGCAACCACCTTTCCTGCACCTAGCATAACTTAGATCCAGTAAATAACATAACCAATCAACATTCAAAACTAATAAATTACATACAAAGTGATCAGATTTGAATTTGTACCCTAAGATTCATACAGGCGACGCTTAGCAGCGAAAGGTTTCTCAGGCGCCCGATGTGAATCTTGGTTAGCAAGCGAAAAAGGGGACGAACTTTCTGTTTGCTCATCATCCTGCCTCACATTAGGAGATCCAGTTCCAGAAGATTCCAGCTTCTCAATCTTTACCTTAGCCAGAGGTGATATCAAGCTGCATTGTCAAAGACCAAAACAATAAATTCCAACTGCACTATAACCATGACACGATAAGTTTAAAAGTAAAAAACTCACAGACTCCTTGAAGACAAAGGCGAAACTGCCGAAGATGACTTGCTGATTTTACTCTGAGGAGTTTCAGAACCCAGCCCAGCAATGGATGACAATCCATGTACTCCCTGGCTATTAGAACTCATCACATCCATACCATCACTCAGAGTTACAGGAGTCCCCACTGCACTTTTCACAACACCAACTGACTGGATATTAGAGACCTTCAGAGGATCTGCAATGGTAAAAGGAGCTGCCGCAACAGGCGCCCCTGGATCTGTTCCTTTTCCCTTCAAATCAGCAACAGACAGCAAAGGTGCAATAATTGATACAGGAGGCAGTAAATTTGGCGAAATCACGTCCGAAACAACAGCATTCTCCTTGATTGCCAAAGGAACTTGAGATGAACTGCAAGAGCCACATGACCACATAAGTACTTACCATGCAACAGCAGAAACAAAGCACAGGGTAATGAATCAATACCAAATCAAGTAAAAGAGTCCAAATGTGTTACCTGAGAGGCAACCCTGCTACCTGGCCAATCTGGAATGTTGGATTCGTCCCTCCAGGTGTTCCTGAGTCAACAACCTTTTCCTTTCCTTTGGATGAGCTAGATTTGTAACAGCAAAGATTCATAATTAGAATATCCCAAATCCATACCTAAATCCCCGTTATTAACTAACACAAACATAACAATAGAGCAAACAACGCTCACCTAGATGGTATGGCAGCAGAAGCTGAAGCTGCGAAAGGCACACCTGGAGCAGGCAGCATCAACACTCCTTCCTGACCAGAATAGGACTGACTTATGGTTTGGGACGAAGAAACACCGCCTGTGACATCTGGAACTCCTGTAAGACCAAGCACTAGGCCCTGAACATCACGGGGCATAACTCGGATGTCGCAACCGCCCCTCGAAACCAGGGTACCCATCGCGATTTGCTCGGAGTCGCCATCGATCTTACTTGTGGGTGGATCGAACACCTTTTTGGCCCAGTCTGGACCTTAGCGTCGAAATCGGGATTTGGTCTGCAAAATTTAGAGTTCTGGGTTCGGGAGTACATTTACGTGTGGGGAAGTGTATTCACACCCCACAACGCCCCAAATGGGTACTACTTAAATCGATAAGCTTTTAAGGTTGTGTGTATTATTATTTGCGCCTTTATTGATGATTTAATTATAAGATTCAATGAGGTAGAATGTAAAGAAAGAGTTTTTTTTTATAGTTGGACTCGAACCTATTGATTGCCTACGTACCCGACTTAGTCGGGATCAAAGTCCACGTAGTTCGTTTAAATTGAGAGATTTTAAGAAGTGAACTCAACACGTTATATTGATCGTTGTTTAGTTGATAAATTGAGTTTTTAGAAAATATATTTATGATGTTTTGATTTAGCGATTTAGTGATAAATGACCTTTGAAAGGGTTTCACCGTGACGATTATCACGGTCTATTGACCATGATTTTTTTACAAGAGTTTTTTAGGAAAAATATGTATTTTGGAGATAGCGAAAATCAATTATCTCAAAATGATTGGATGTTAGATACCCTTTGTGTATAAGACTAATTGAATTAATCCTAAACTAAATATTCGATCACGTTTAAATTTTACGTATTAGGAACATTGAAGAGTTAAAATCCAAAGCGATTGTGAAAGGTTCGAGTGGTAGGTGACTAGCCTAGTGGTTTATTTTTTCGAGTTTATTGATTTTGTGAGAAAGAGGTCGATGTTTCAAACTTGGCCGCTTACTAGTATATTTTTGTTATTCCGTTTTCTGATGAATAATGGCAGCGGGTAAATTTTCAAAAATAAGAGGGGTATTTTGGACTTTACGGACGGTGTATAAAATAACTAGAAGGGACGAAAATTTAACCATAGCCGCATTCTAATCTCCATTTCTGTCGATTTGCCTTCTTCTCCCGCTCTCTCTCTGGACGAACGAAAAAGAACTACAAAAATCGCAAGAAACACAACTCGAATCTGCCACTTCCTCATTCCCTTCTTCGTCTTCTTCTTTCCCCATCTAATCCCATTATACATCCATTTGTTCGTTCTTTAACCCCTTCCGATCTGCCCTATTCCTCTCTCTTCCTCCATGGTAACGACAATAATGAGAGAAGGAAAACCGACGGCTATGGATCGCCGGCGAAAGGAAAGAGGGCGAACGACTCCGACGATGATGGGAATCACGGTGGCGAAGGTTAGTGATCAAAATCCTCTCATTGCATGTCGATTTTTAGTATTTTTTAGGTTGGATCGAGTATTTCAATTCTAATGCATGTTTGTGTTTGTGTTTTTATTTGGATTTTTGGCCTTTTGGGGATGTTTGACCGTGGAAGGAAGGGAGGAGAAGAAATAAAGAGTCACCGGCGCTCTGGCTCCGCCGGCGATGAGGGAAAACCCAGAAAGCGACTACTGGGGGTTCCCGCTTGGTAAGTTTTTTTGGTAATAGGATTATTTGGTTTTTCGATTGGTTTGTATTGGGGTTAATAGGGCGGTTTTGTAAATCTGGGATGGTTTTGAAACTGTTAGGTAATTGTGGTTGTGAAAATTGTGTTTATAACTGAGGTGTGGGACTTTGAACACTAAGAAATCTTAGAATTGCGGTTCAAGTTCTAGAATTTCTTAAACTCACTATAAACACTGTAATTGCTTGTGATTACTTCGTCTTTTATTGCTTTAGTGTTAAATTTGGGTTTTTATTGAGTTTATGATGTATGAAATCTGGGTTTAGGCATGGGATTAGGGATTCTATACGAAACTAGAATCATGTGTTGTTTTGTCGACTGATATGCCCTGTGAGGTGATGGGTTGGGGTTCGCATAGGGTACCTCAAAACAAAATAAAGACACCTCAAAATATGTTCACGAGTTTTGTCTTGAGTCTAGTTTTGCTTGTTATAAAATCTGCTTTTTAGTCGAAAATTTGAGATGTTGATGTTAGATTCACTTAGTATGAAATTGAATATGTTGAATACTGATAAAGCAATCAAAGGCAAAACAAGGAAACAGATCTATTGTTTTTTTAGCTTGAAATATGCTTAAACGTAAAAGCCGATGTAAGCAGAAATATAGAGACATTAAGTAATGTAGTAGATCTGATTTTTCCATTGTTAAATCACTTTCTAGATATAGTGAAAATTCCATTTTTGTGATTTGCTTGGCCATTGCTTAAGTTTTTACACAAGAAGCTTTACATAGGTAGAGAAATTAGATGATTGATTATGTATGATAATGGTTGGGATTTGGATATTAACCTTTTGCCGTGGTTGGAGGAGTGGCTGAAGCTGCTTTCCTCTTTCCAGTTTTTTGTTCCTCTTCTCCTTGTATGTCTACGGCTGTTTGTCTTTTTATGCTCTTCTTCTACTGCTTTTCTTTTTTCGCATCATTGTTGTATGTGTTTTTTTTTTGGCAAGGAAGAAGTGGTGAAACAGAACAAATAAGGGAGGTATAAGGGAATTTTTGTCTCCTTTGTTGTCTGTATGTGTTTTATGTTGGTTTTTGGTTCTTTCTGTTTGTTTTCCAGCTTTGTTGTTAGTAGGTTTCGATGGTTTGGCCTCCTTTCCCCAAATTTTGGGGCTTGACGTCGCCTTTCTGCTATCTGCTTAGCTTCTTTTCCTTCAATTCTCACCTGTAGGGAGATAAGTAAAGGCAAACTACTTTGTTTTTTTTGTGTTTCTTTTTGTGTTTGTTTTGGCTGCTGTTTCGTGATTGTATGTGGCTTAGGGAAGAAGGAAAAGGGAAGTTTTGCATAGTTTCTCTTCCTTTGTGTTTATGGATCAGAACAGAAGGAAGAAGTGGAGAGTAAGTTTTTGTTGAGTTGTTTCTCTTTTCTGTCTGTTTTCTGGAAAGGAAAAGCAGCTGTGGGGAGAAGGAAGAATAAGAAGCAGAGCCAAGCCTCACCCTTTTGTTCTCGTGGGGAGGAAGAAAGGAAAGAGGAAGATGTTGTCTGCTGTGGGAAAGGAAGAAGCGTGAAAAAAACAGTATGGAAGAAGAAGAGCTCTCCCCCCCCCCCCCCTTATTCAGAAGAGTGGAGTGTTTTTTATAGGAAGTCAACTTGTTACCCAAGTCTGGAACAGTGTCGGGTTTGGGTCGGACCGGTCTGAGTTGGATCGGACCGATATGGGTTTGGTCAGACCTGTTTGTTCTCTGACCGGTTTGACTTTGTTGACTGGGGCTGGACTGAGTTGACTTGGGCTTAGGCTTTGATCCCTTGTAATAAAATTTGTAATTTGTAATCTTTGTTTAATGAAAGGGTCTATGTAATTGTAACTGATTACTAGTCATAGTTATAATTGTTATTTAGTAATCAAAACTTATGTTAGTTATAATTGTTATTTAGTAATCAAAACTTATGTTATGGGTAATTTCTGTTTAACCTTCTCATCATATTTTATTGTTCTCAACTCCAACTCCAATGTCCAATTCAATTGTTATTGGTCTTAAACAACTCATGACAATGAGATTAATCAATTGGTTAATTCGCTTAACCAAACCAAAACATGAAAATCGAAACCCCACTAACCCAAGCCGTGTGAATGTATTAAACATCAACTTGACTCTATCCTCAACTTGACTCTATCAATCGAGATTTGCTATTTCTTATCTCATAGAGTTAATGCGAACACGACCGTCTCAAGCACTATCAATATATTTTAGTTTGAAAATCAATTAACTTGCTATTGCAAATCTTCAATAAAAACTAAATTTTATTTAAGTAAAAAGGTTTTAACCCGGACAAAAAGTGGTGTCTACAGTTGCCCCCCTTTGTATATCTCTTGGTATTTGAGAGGTATACAAAGTTATCTTAAAACACCATTTTTGTCTATTTAGATCTTGTTAGAAGCTAAACAAAGTATCAATCAGTTCAAGCAACGATATAACTTGTTTGTTCCCATGCGGTATAGCAAAAAGGACTTGCTTACTCTCATGGTGGTATGGCCTGGTTTAGAGTATGGACTTGTTTAGTTTTTTTTTTTTTTTTTGTCCCATGGCGGTAGAGGCTGATTTGGGTTTTGCTAACATGGTGGTTCAACCTAGTTGGGATTCGTGGTCCCATGGCGGTATAGCCTGATCTTGGTCTATGTTGCCCCCATGGCGTTATAACCTGATTTGGGTTTTGTTGGTCCCTTGGCGGTATAGCCTGGTTTGAGTTTTGTTGTTTCTATGGCAGTACAGCCTGACTTGGGTTTCTTTATATCTTGGCGGTATAGCCTGAAATGATTTCTTTTTTATGGCGGTGTAGCCTGCAATGGTTTCCTTTCATGGCGGTATAGCCTGCATTGGTCTTTTTGTGTGGCGGTAGGGCCTGTCTTCTTTCTTAGGTATCGTGGTGGTAGGTTCTGAGTTAGTTCTTAGGTATCGTGGGCGGTAGGGCTTGTGTTGGTATTTAGGCATCATGGCGATAGGGCTTGAGTTGGTATTTTGGCGGTATGGCTTGATTGGGTGAGCTTCCCGTGGCGGTATAGCTTGATTTGTGTTTTGTGGCGGTATAGCTTGGTCTGGGATTTTCATCCATGGCGGTATAGCCTAATTGATCATGTGTGTCTTGGTGATAAAATTCATGAGGATATGCGAAAGCTTAACTCGATGATGAGTGGCATAGAGTTGTGTGCTTGATATGAAGTGCCGAATCAAGCAAATTGTTGAGTCTAGGTGTATCTTAGGTATGTGTCAAATTTGACTTGTAAATATTATCTAGACGTCGTATGGGCGGGAAAATGCAAGATGTTGTATGACGTGATATGACATGATGTAATGTCATGATTCGAAATGTTGTTGAAAGGGTACTGCCTGATTGATATTTACTTTGGCTTTGAATTCCTCGAAACTAGTCATTTACTAAATGATGTCATGTGATAAGTTTGACGCGTATGCATTTATGATGAGATATATGATGATGTCTTGAAAGGTATGCAAAGGCCATGTATGATCATTCATCGTAGTTTTGATTTTTTGGCAAGGATTCTCTTAAATCGATCATCCACAAGGAGCTATGTCATTGTCCCTTTTAGTA